GTTTCCATTGCAGTTTTGCGAAAAACACCAATTTCGATACGGCTGAAAAACCACCTCATCCTAGCGCAAAAACATTTAGTTGAAAAACATATTTTTTTTCGAAATTGACGTGTTTCCATTGAGCAAATTTATTTTCGAAATTCTAACTTGCACATTTTCATGGTGAATGGAAACACAGCTAATGAAAGGCTTTTATTGCACTGGGCTGCACATCCAGGCTTATATTTTGTAACACTCCTGACTTTCAGTCTTTCCAGATCCAGCCGGACCTCCTGGAGGAGGACACCAGCACCCCGGAGGTGGAGAGCCAGGGCCTGGACGTCTCCTCCGGGACGTCTCAGGACCAGGACATGAGCGCCCGCCAGGCCCCCCTCCCAGAGGAGGCGAGCGCGACCATCGAGAGCAGCAGCACCCCGGAGGAGGAGGAGGAGGAGAGCGCCAGCGCCGAGTCCGAAGACGAGGAGAGCCAGAGCAGCGAGGAGGCCACGGCCACGCCCGGCGCCGCTGACGACGACTCGGACGAGAGCGACGAGTCCGAAGAGGAGGGGGCGGGGCCTGACGTCACCACTGACATGCCGGCAGTCGTCACGGCCAAATAAACCACAGAGGACGCTGAGCTTCATCCTGGTCCACAGACCCCTCCCAGTCCCCTGAGGCCCCCTCCACTGCAGGGTCAAACCACAGCTCAGTTCAAGTTCATCCATCTTTCTCTGATTATTTCTGCTTTTCTTTCACAAAACTAATGTTTTTATTGTGGGTTTGTTTAATGACCCCACGGCTGCTGCCTGCTGTGGTCGACTGGCCCTCAGAAACCCCACGTTTGGTTCCAGAGGAGAGAAGAGCGACGAAAGAGTTAAAGTCAAACATGTTGAAAAACTGCAACCTGAAGGGTTTCTGTCCCTGCAGGGTCACAGAGTCCAAACTGAAACAGTTAAAACCAGATATCTTCAACTCCCAAATCATTCTYTTCCTGCCTTAAGAAACAGTTTATTTGACTTCCTGCAATCATTTGAAGTGTAAAAGCAATAAAACTTGAATTTTAAACCTCATATTTGCAGCCAAAGCAGCTGAGCTTCTGTTCTCCTCGATGTGTTTTATACCAGGTGTGGATGAAAGGAGCAAACACATCCAACACAGTCCTGTTTGTTTGCACACTTCTTTCACTACATGATGTTTATTGTAATGTAACATAAAGCACCATTTCTAAAATAATAATAAAATCCTTTGTCATATAAAAACACGACTTCTGTTTGGTTCTTAAAATTAATCATGAAAAGATAAACATAAATGGGTAAAAATTTCTTCAACAATTTTTGTTTTTGTAAAAAAAAACTTTAAAAACTATTTTTTTCAGATGTAATATTAAGAAAGTTTGCAAATTTTAGCTCAATATCCATAATATTCACTGAGTTACAGCTATGACTGATGCTGTGGCGGCCATCTTGAATGGGTTTAACTCTAAAACTTGTAGACTTTCATCCACTGATTATTTATGGGAGTTATGAGATATTTTGCTAACAGACAGTGAATTACATGACCGCTCACCTTAAACTGACAAAGATCAATARTAAAGTCATAAATAGCTCATTTTAATGTTGGATTTGAACCTATACTTGAATTTTTAGATTCCTGATTAACTCGCTCTGAAGAAGCGTTCTGTAACTGTTGATGTTCTCCACCAGGTGGAGACAAATCCTTAAAGATCCACCAAACCCAGAAGACCAGGGTTGTGGGGCGGTTGATGGGCGGAGAGGCTGACAGGGTCAGATTTCCACACAGTTAAAAACACATAAAATATATATCATCGTATAAACAAACTGAGAGAATGACTTCAACAGAAACTAAACATGTGAAGTGCTGGTAGACATCAGAAACACACCTGGATACATCAACAGGATGGAAGTGAACAGAACT